TCCTTTCTCCTCCATTTCTTCATTCTTTTGGGATTTGAGGCACACATACAGTCAGTCATCAGTGTACAGACTTGAACTACAGTCAGCCCTGTGGTTTCCAGACATTTTAATCACCAGTTGGCCTTCTTTCCTTTTCTTTATAGCACCTATCAATTTGTGAGTAATTTAATTTAATTGAATCCTCCCCCTCCCCCGCAAGGTAAGCTTCATGAAAACCTCAGTATCTTTGTTTATTCTCTTCTCCAAATCCCCAGTTTCTGGAGAAGGGCGCGGCACACAGTGGATGCTTATTAAATGCCAGTTGAATGAATGAGGGAGAGCTCTGCTCTCTGTTAGTCACCTCATTTACAGGGCATATTCATAACTGAATAGGTTACAGCTAAACTTAGTATTTACCACTTGCATTTAGGTCCCAGAATTCTGTCTTTGCAGTGTAGACCTCATTGGCTTCACCGTGTTGCTGTTGCTGTTGTGACTGCTGTTGTCATTTAGGCAGCCAAAGCACTTTGCTGACTCATCAAGCTCCCTGTAATTAGAAAGTCTCTTTACATATCCATCTATATTCTGTTAATTCTCTATTTCTTTGTTTAGCTTTTTATTCCAAGCACATTATTTTAATTGATTAACACCATCTTGTTAGACTAGGCTCAGTCTCTCCACCGTTTGAAGTCTTTTTGGATCCTGAGTGTCTTCTCTAATTAATTTAGCCATTTTGTCCCTACAGACTTGGCTCTCAGTATATCAATGGCTCCAACACCGAGTTTATTGTCTCTGATTAGAATTTTAGACATCTTTTGTTCGGCATAGATTTTTGTATCATATGATGCTTTTATGGCTCTATTGAAAAATTCCTGAAGAACGAGATTAACAAAGCTGTTTCACTCAAATGCCTTGTTCTCTATGCCAGGGACTGGTGCTTCCCATCAGGTGAGCATGTTGCTCCTGCTTCCCACCCTGACTCCTGTCCTCCCTTTTCCTTTTTCACCCTTACGTTATCATTAGATGGAGAGGGAGAAAATACCATTCTTTCACCAAACGGTTGTGTGTAACTTTTCCTTGGGATGAATTTGGCTAGAAATATAAGAAGATGACTTTGTTCTGCACAAATTTGTGGAGGGATACTATGGTAATATGGCCATGTGAAGTGATGCAAAGTTCACTAGATTGTAGTATTTTAGCTTGGAAGTGTCTTCTACCTCATATTGTCAGTACCGGGGATAGTGTCTGGAACATAATACTGTAGTGAATGACAATACCAATATTACTATGGTGATAGAAACTTCTGATTTTATTGAATAATATTGAGAGTTTCTTACTATATGACAAACTCTATTCTAGGGGCTTATATATACTGACTCATTTGCTCTCAAAACAACTAATGACAGTACTATCTTTGTTTTATTGTCAAGGAGGCTATGACACAGGAAAGGTAAGTGATTTTCACGTGTTGCCTAACTATAAAGTAGCAATGCTAGGCCAGCCAGTGATGTGATAGTTAAGGCAGCTGGATCCCATATGGCTCAATGCACAGTTCAAGTCCCAGAGCCAGTGACTTGAAAAAAAAACACCAGCACGTGTGAGTGCACATCCAAAATCCTGAGAGGAGAACAGAGGAGAAGGGATTGCAGTATGGCCACCGCACCCTCCCCCACCCCTTGAGAGTAATTGCTCTTTCACTATCTTTCTCTCTCTGTCTATGACAAGCACATGTGCCCTATGGAAAACTAAAACAAAGTAGCAATGCTAATCCTGTACATAGTAATAATCTCTGTCCATGAGACATTTCCTTTAATTGCTAGCATTTGTTTTATGCTGGAATTCATACTGGAGTTTTTGTATGCATTATGACATTTGATCTTTACTATATCATGTGATAAAGATGTTATTGTCCCCATTTTACAAAAAAAGAATAAAATATTTTGTGGTTTGACTAGCCTTCCCAAGATTACAGAGCTGGTATATTGCCATTAGTGGAATTGGAATCTATTTCTGTACAAAATGTAACTTCTTCAACATGATCATATAGCACAATATTGTGAGTGCGTAATAAATTAATAAATGAGTATTAGATAACTAAATTTAAGTTATTTGTTTTCAAAAAAATAAAAGTTATTCATTACAAGGACAATTGATGCTCTAGAGCATCTCCCGTGTGTATGAGTTTATGATAGATGACTCCCTCTATTGTAACCAGAGTGAGTCAATTCATTAATAATTATGGTCCTGCACATAATACTTCACTTTTATTTAAGAGAGTTTTAAAAATATGAGCTGAAAAGACAGGGCAGCCAAATACAAAAAAAAAAAGAAAACCTTCATCACAGTCTGTTTATGCCTGGCTTTTTTTGCAGTTATTGAGAAATCGTTCTATATAGGGAATCAACATTCATTATCTAAGAATTCCAAAATATGTAGTTCATAACAAAAGAAAAATATGAACTTAATCCCAGGTTGACCAGTACACTAAAATTTTAAATTTTTAAAAACTTGTTTTATCATCTAAATCATTTTTTAAAGAAATAGTAATCAAACGTACTGAATTAAAAGAATGTGTATGTGTATGTCTGTATGATATGTGCTTTATGAAAATATTAGGCCAGATGCAAATGCTTCAATTGTGTTGTTTCCACTGCCTGAAGAACTTCATTATATCCTTACTTAATTAATATTATCACAATATACTTCAGAATTATATAACAGATTTAATTTTATGAGTATTTTAAAATTTATTTTCTGTAGAGTTGATTTCTCCATTATCTTCAATATTCTTCATTTTGAATGCTTACTACCAAAGTTCTTTCACTGTGGAAATTATGTATTGGATGGAATTTAGGACATTGAGATAGTACTGCGTATTAGACCCTGTGGTGCTCATCATGTTCACAGTGAGGAGGAAAACTGATGAAGTCTCTGCTCATGGAGCTTCTAGTCTAGTGGGCACCAGTTGTTAAGTTAACGCTTTAGTGCAGGAGATTTAATGAACCTATTTCTGTTGTAACATGGATACGTCTTGGAAACCAATTTTCTTTGTTAGTTTTATCTAAAAACATTAAAGGTCGAACTGGTAAGTATTTCATTTAGTTGTCCACTTCGTTGAAAAATTATTTTATTAATGTACTTTTCCTCAAGATAATTACGTATTATTGAATTAAAATAGATACAAAGCCCATTTTTTTTCTCTCTTTCTCTGTTCTTCCCTATTATCCTTCTTCTCTTTCTTTTTCTCTCTTTTTTTTCTCTCTCTCAAGACACAGACACATAAACAAAACTTGTCTCCTTTTTCAAATAGGCATGCCAATTTAATATTGAGATATAGTGAAAACTGCTTAGAAAACAAAAACTTTTTTCTTTGTTTAATGCTTTCACCTTCATTTTTATTCCTTCTTTAGAAACAAATGTAAGTTTATTTAAATGAGTCGATTTATCAGTTAATCCTGTAATTATTTTTTCTTTGATAATTAGTTCCATTGCTGTTCTTTTCATTAGCATGTGTGGTTGTGTTTTAGCATATAGTCTTTGTTTTTGAAAGTTAATGAGGTCTGCTAAGAGGCATATTGCCACAGCAAAAGCCAATTGGCTGGAATGCAGCAGCAGGGAAGAATTCATTACCAAGGAGAATTTTAAAAGGGCAGCTGCTTCCTTAATGCTGCAGCTTATTAAGATGGCAACTTCCTGCCATAGCAGTCGCATGTTTCATTGATTTTGCTCCTTCTTGCTTTCATGTTGTTTCCTAATGATGAATTGAGAAATAATTCTCCCAGCTATCAAAGGCATTTTAAGGGGGTTCTAAATTACGTGCTTTCCTGATCATAAAGTATTGCTCCCTAACCAAGACGGAATTTTACTTTTTTAAAGTCTTTAATTATTTCATGAAACTTTCAAGAGTATGGTTGAGTTTATTTGGATATTCTAGTGGGAAATTTAACAGAAATTGCATTCTTTTTTTGTTGATGATATGATCATTAAAAATAAAAAGTAATAGTTAAATAAAATACACATTGTTATTGATTTTATGTTATAGATTTATTTAAGGCCAGGATTAAGCCTTCTAGAATTTTCGTTTAATTTCAAAGTTAATGAGGTCTGCTAAGAGGCATATTGCCACAGCAAAAGCCAATTGGCTGGAATGCAGCAGCAGGGAAGAATTCATTACCAAGGAGAATTTTAAAAGGGCAGCTGCTTCCTTAATGCTGCAGCTTATTAAGATGGCAACTTCCTGCCATAGCAGTCGCATGTTTCATTGATTTTGCTCCTTCTTGCTTTCATGTTGTTTCCTAATGATGAATTGAGAAATAATTCTCCCAGCTATCAAAGGCATTTTAAGGGGGTTCTAAATTACGTGCTTTCCTGATCATAAAGTATTGCTCCCTAACCAAGACGGAATTTTACTTTTTTAAAGTCTTTAATTATTTCATGAAACTTTCAAGAGTATGGTTGAGTTTATTTGGATATTCTAGTGGGAAATTTAACAGAAATTGCATTCTTTTTTTGTTGATGATATGATCATTAAAAATAAAAAGTAATAGTTAAATAAAATACACATTCTTATTGATTTTATGTTATAGATTTATTTAAGGCCAGGATTAAGCCTTCTAGAATTTTCGTTTAATTTCTTCATAAGTATTTCACTGTACTTTTTTTTTTTCCCATTTGAAGATGTTTTATTGGAAAACATCTGCTCGACATTAGAGATTCTTAATATCTCAAAGAAAAGAGCCTTGCTCAATTGTAAAGAGGAGAATTTAAGCAGATTATTATCTACTTAGAAATCCTTTGCTGCTCACTATTCTATTGAGGCCAGAGAAAATTGTGTCCTCACTGGTACCAAACACTGCCATAAGTGTTGCTTTCTCTAAATGTAAAACATCCACAGTTCATAAATTCCTTGATGTAGGGGCACATAATCCACATCCACGGGCAATGTAATGACAAAAAGAAGAGAATGTTATCTGGGTGATTATCTGGTAATAACTCACTAACATTGACTTTATCCTTTTCAGATCCCAGTCAGTAGTGGATCCGACAGTACTAAAACGCATGGATAAAAATGAGGAAGAAAACATGCAACCTTTGCTTTCTCTGGACTGATAACTTCTCTACACCTCCCATAGATTAGAAATGGAAGGTACTGGCTTTCAGCAATGGGGACTGCACTGTGGAGAAATTACCAGCTGAAAACCTATTTATTCATGTTAATGTAGCATAATATAAAATAAGGCATCAGACTTTCCCATTTGCCTGAACCATGGGTGCCCTGGGTTGGATTTTACAAAAAGTCAATAATTTATTCTGTAAGTGCCAAGTTCTTTGTAAATATAATATAATCTTCATGTCAAGTTTGTAAATTTTGGTAGTAATTTAATTTGGAAAAGATTGTTGCAAAAGTCCATGCCAGTGATATGAACTATAACAAAAAGCAGAAAAGAAGCATAAATAATCAAAATTAATTAAATGTAGCCCTGTTTCCTCTGAAGCCATATGTCAGCTATCATAGTGATCATTTCATTGTTTTTCTCTGATACTCTGTCAGTATTCAAATGTACTTTTAGTGGGCACAGGGAGCTAAATAATTCTAGGAAATCGTTATGATAAATGTATTTCCTGTGTAGTGATTTTCATTTCAGAGAAAATATGTTTTTAGCAACCATCACTGGCCTTGCATTTAGGAGACCAGGAATGGCATATGAGCTGGTAAACTGAACACTTGAACTCATCTATGTTGTTTAATTCCTGGAGTCTTGTAAAAAAACAATATGATTACCCAATTAAGATTTGAAATTCTGAAGGAGAGTGCATTCTTTTTGAACCGTTGTCTCCACAATATGCTATTGATTCACTACTCCATTGTAACCCCATCTGGTGTACATTAAGAACATTTCCTTCAAAACTCTTTGACCAAGGGAATGAAAACACATATGCGAATAGGATTTGACAGCTAATTCTAATTTTGAACATAAAATTTGCCACTTACAGATAAGGGCCTAATTTCTAATCATTGTGCACTGGTTGAAAACATATGTATATTCACACACACAACATATATATTTTTATTGAGCTCTAATAAATCCTTGATGTGACAGGCTTATCAAATAAATAATACATATTAAATGATGTTAGAGATGTTATAGATCATTATGAGATGCTAATACTGGAAAACCACTTCCACTAAAGTTAATGAACATGAGAAATAATGAAGCAGAATGACAGTGTACCTACGTAAGGGAATTCCACTTTAATTTATAAAGCATTCTTGATGTGTGCCGTCTTTTTTTCTCCAAAAAAGCAACAGTTCTCACATAGCGTAAGTAGTACTGGGGGACAAAGAGTAAAATGGTTTTTCTCAAATTCAAGTTATTCAAGTTCTACCTGAATACCTTTTTAGAAAAAAAAAATTAACTGAAAGAATATTCTGCATGCAGGAGAGATAATGAACACATCTGCAAGTACCTAAGATAGTATATAATGCCTTAAATCTAGATTCAAAATCCTTCTATTGTTTCAGTTTTATTTTATAGAAATTCTGCAACTGTAGACAAAAAATTTTAAATCTTACTTTAAATTTCAAATTCTAATGTGAAAAGCAAGATTTTTTTTAAACCACCTTTTTAAAGTGATAAATTCTGAGATTGAGAATTTACCACAAAAATATTCTTTTGAAAGAAAAACATCTCAAGGAACTCTTGGTAACCAAAAGAAATAAAGGCACTAGCAGCCATTAAATCCCTTTAGCCAAAAACTTCAGGTGTTGTGCTTGCTTATAATCATGTAGCCCCAAATCCTAAAATCAGAATCAGTATCCCAGACTGCAGTATATCAATGGACTGTTTGTAAAAATACGTAAATTAACATGAGTAAAATATATCTTAAGCATGCCAACTTCCAGTCAAGCGCAGAAGAATAATACTGAGAGGCACTGTAAAGCCGCAGGATTTCTTATCTTTACGAGAAACCTAACCATTGATGTTCTTGTGTTTTCGACTACCTGGCATACATTTTGTAGCCCTAGGCATAATATGTTACAAACAGGTGTTAGGCAGTATTATGTAGTGGAATAAATAGGAATAAGTAAGTACAGAAGGGCAGTCAGCTTTTCACTCCTGTAAGTTTTTCGTGTTGTGCACAATTTATTGCCACTTTTCAGAATTATACCTGCTTCAGATGTCAGCCAGCATAGCCAGCTTCTTGCCCCTATCATTCAGCTAGTGTGACATATAAGGTTAACTAGAAAGGCATATTGTGTGTACATACCTATCGAATCGTGAGGATCGTTCACGCTATCTCCCCACCCCATGTTTGGAGACTGCATTGGCATTGTTGCTTGTCTGCCCTTCTTCCATGAGTACTTGAAAACTGACTGCATTGTGTGAAATATTTAAAAACAAATGAGCAAATTACAATGATGCCTTTTGACATTGCTATATCTAGTTCTGTCTGTGAATAAACTCCTTTTCCGGTAATGTTTTCAAAGTTACTTAGTCAAGGGATTTTCGTTCAGTTTTGTACATTTTCCCTTTAGTACCAGCTAATGAGCAGCACTGTTTAGAAATTTTTTCCTCATGCGATTTTCTGTGTCATAAAACTGTGTCTATTGTCGTGTAACCTAGTAAATACGCATTTTCACACATTCAACATATAGTGACTGTTGGCCCTAATGAGTTGGCCTCTTTACTTTGAGAGCTATGATTTCCTTTTGTAGTTGTTTTGTTACTTAAAATTTTTGGACTTCAAAGGGTAATCACATTTGATTTGGCGTAGACCAGTAATTCATTCATATCTCTCACTCTAGCTGCTCCAGCTTCACCTTCTGCTTCTCTTATTTTTTTTTTTCAGAATTCTTTAGTTAATTTTATTTATCATTATTATTATTTATTTGTCATAGGACACATGCACTCACTAGAAAGAGACAGATAGAGAAACAGAGAGACAGAGACAGTGAGAAAGCAAGCCATCAGTTCCAGGACTGGAATTGCAGTCAGCCATGTGGGAGTCAAGCACCTCAACTACCCTGCCATCTGCTGGCCCCTCCATTATCTTTTTTACCCTCACTGCAGTTTTTTCAGGGGCAGTTGCTTCCAAACTGGTTTTAAAATAGGTAACTTATCCTATTGTCAGTAATATTTGCACATATTTTTGACTGCTATTTAAGAAGGAATAGTTTATCATGAAAATATACTCTAAGAAATATGAAGTGCCTAATTAAAAATGAAATAAAACAGTGATGATGGCATATGGATTTTATTTGTACTCTCTTCCCTAAAAGTAAATACATGACTCGTATTATAAGGGCGAAATTTAGATATGATTTGAAGAAGGATGTTTGAGATCTTGTTTTGAGTATTCTCAAACAGTATATGCCTCTATTGTGTAAGTTCAACACAGTGACTTTAATATAGGTTAATAACAAACCTGGCACTATGTGAAAACAATATACAAGTAATAAATAGAGTTTTCCCAGCAAGTTTTTGAAGTGAACATGCATGATTTACTTTATTTCAACAATAGTTGGCTTAAATGTAAGCAGAGATATTTAAGTCTTTTCATATGAAATGCTTTTTTAATCTACAGTAGTAAAAAGTCATGTGTTCATAAGCAGGAAAGCCAAGCAACTAGATTCTTTTTAATATCGTTAACTAGGTCACATTGTTAAATTAAACATTTCAAGTTTCTGTAGTATTCCTGAGGGAACAGAAGTCCCTCTACTGCATCAAGAAAATGGAGAGTTGTTTTAAACTTCAGGGAATGTGTTTATGGCTCTTCACAAAAAGAAACCTTTAGAACCATGGCAGTGTGTCTTCAGGGACAGACTTTCTTTGCTTCTATAAACAACCTAAAGGTTTATGGACATGGAGTTTAAAGAAGTTATATTAAGAAAACCTGCTAAGAGGCTATTCACTCTTCTGTTGTTTTATTTAAAGGTCTGCCCTGTTTGGTTGGCTAATAACATCCCTTTGCTTCTTTGTTGTATATGTGTGTTAATAATGACTTGAAAAGTTACCACCAGCTATGAAGACATTTCAGAGAATATCTCAATACGCAAAATAAAATGAGCAGAGCAATCACATGATATGTGGAACATTCAGATTTATACCCTCGACATCGATAAGCTCATACATTTATACATATATACAGTAGTCCTCCCCTTATTTGAGAGTTCACTTTTTTGCAGCCTCAGTTATCCATGGTAAGATACACTAGGATATTTTGAGAGAGATCAGATTTGCATTGCTTTTATTATATTATAATTGTTCTATTTTATTATTACTTGCCATTGTTAATCTACTGTGCCTCATTTGTAAATTGAACTTTATCGTAAGATATATATGTATAGACAAAAAAGTATACATAGGGTTAAGTATGGCCTGTGGTTTCAGATATCTACTTGGGGGCTTTTGAATGTGGTTCTACAGATAAGGGGGGGCTACTGTATTGTATTATTTCCTTTTTGATCTGCAATACAAGTACATAGCTTAAAACATAGTGGTGCTTTTTAAGTTTGTGAGGCCATTAGATCATGCAAGAACAGGCAAATTATATCCAAATGTTTTGGAAAAAAAGTTCGAGTGTCTATCCAGGAAATGTAATGATCTTCACTAATGAACAAGATTCTGGTTTAATAGAAAACCAGCTTTCTATATAATCTTAGAACTATTTAGCACTATTTACTGCTTGAAAGAGGGCAAATAAGTAAAAATAAAAAAGAGCCTTGACCTCATAGCATAATTAAATCAAGGTCTTAATGGCTTAGAGAATATAATCTTTTTTACAAATTCTAGTTTTTATTTTGAAATATATGGAGGTAAATCTCACCTATGAAAATAATGCTATGAAGTTTAGTATGTTCTCAATATGGTAAATAATTCCTTTGGACTATAGGGAAAAATATGAAGAAGCAATTCTGCGGCTTGAAACACTCAAATTGGACTATATTTTTTTTCCCCAAGGGAGGAAGAATACAAATTATACTGTTGAAATAAACAAATTATTTAGAAACAAAATAATTATTGGATTTAAAGAAATAAATGCAATTTTATAGTTACTAGTGAAAATTGCTACAATTATGTTATTTTGTAAATATTTGACTTAGTTTCAGATCTCAGTGCAAATATTCCTGTTCTTAATGATACCAGTGCATTTATTCTGTCGAAATTATTTTTTTGTGATGACTGAAATGGACTAGATGGAAATAAATGTTAATTAAACTGTTAAGACTAAACCAATGGCCAACTAATTTGAAAAATCGCAATGGGCTATAGTTTAGTTATAATAGACAGCGAAAGCATTGTCTGGTTTCTAATCCAGTTTTTTAGATTTTATGTTTGCTTAGAAATAAATAAAACTTAAAATATCATATTGTTTTTTGTTTTCAAAGTTGTCTAGAAATTTTAAAAAGATGTTTAGGAGGAAATTATACAAGTCCTTATATAATACTAAGCACACTATTATTTGGCTCAACTGCTATTATTATTTAAGACTGCACAGTGTATATTCAAATTTGTACACACTTTGCTATTTGATTTTATGAGAGTTATTTATATTAAAAATACTATTAATAATTTTTGAATAAGTATAAATTCTGTTTGAAAACAGCATTCATTTGGCGTATGGTAGATGTTGGATTTGGTAGTACTCAATCTGCTGCATCTGCAGAATGGTGACTTCTAAAAAGTTTAAAAAATGATCCTAGTTTTAGTTTGAGAGAATTTGGGGTTAGTTATTTAAGTTAGAATACCTCAGAGTTTCTGATATTTGTATTTGGGGCTTAAAGGGTAATTACATGATTTACCTCATCAAAATGACATTTTTATTATTCTATAACTTCCAGACAAACTTTTAAGGGAAAGTTTGAATAAAGAAGTAAACTAATTTTTATTTTTCATATAGCAGAGAAATTATCAGAAAGTATAATAACTAAGATTTTCACTTTTGCATGTAAAATTATTGGATTAGACAGAGACTAAGTTCAGAAATTTGATTTATTTTTTTTAAAGAATTATTTAATTGTATTTGTTACTGTTTTAATTTGTTACAAGGCACATGAGCTCACCAGAAAATGAAAGAGAGATAAATAAAGAGATAGAGAGAGAGAGAAAGTGAGAAAGCAAACCAGTAGGACAAGGACTCCAACGGTGGTCAGTCATATGAGAGTCCGGTATTTTAATCACAATGCCACTTGCTGGCCCCAGACACTCAGATTATTAAAGCATTGAAATCTTGTTAAAAGTCATCTCAGATTGGGACCAGCAGTTAGCGTAATGGCTATGTCGCTGGACTCCCACTTAGTCGACCGCGGTTTGAGTCCTGGACCCGGTGGCTTAAACTCACGCCGGGCACGTGTGCGTGCGTGCCCAAGATCCCGAGAGGAGAATGGAGGAGAAGGGATTGCGGCGTGGCCATCCCCCCTGGGAGGGTGATTTCTTGCTTTCTATCTCTCTGTCTCTCTCTATCTGGCGAGCACACGTGCCCTATAGCAAAAACCTCTCCAAAAAAAGAAAA